CTAGCAGAATCTATCAACTCCTGAGTGGTTTGAAACTTATTATTTCAACTAACTGAGCAAAGCAAGTGTAATACCAAAATTGTATAATAAATTACTAGATATTTACACAATTGTATTTAATTTTTCAATGCTAAATTTCCTGTCCTAAAGCACTACAGCTAGGTTTAGGCATTACTGTGTGCTATTCACCCAGCATTTGCCTGCCAACAGACACAGACCCCTCTACTAGCCAGTAGTGGTTCCTTTAGGGCACCGTCTGGTTAAAAAAAAAAAACTTTCTTAGAAAATCAGCAATATTCATCCAATATTTCGAGGGCCAGCAAGTATTGGGTTAACTAAAATGTTTTTTTTATACCCTCAACCTTAAAACAACTAAATGTATTACTGGCAACAATGGTGGTCTGTCAGTGGGCTTTGAAGAGCAGCCAGGAACACATGGTCCAGTGCAAAGGATTAAAATTTGGAAAATGTGTAAAATTAAATGTAACATGCGTTTAAAATAATTTCCAATTTTTTAAGAAAATCATGCTAAAATGGGTTGACAAAATGACAAAATCAAATCAATATAATCAAGACTTACCGTATGTGTTTTTTACATGTTTTTACCCTCTCTCTAGATTTTCTCTGGAGTGAATCATCAGTGTTAATACTCTCTTCACCAGTCTGCGAGTTTAATTCTCCTAAAAGGTCTTCAAATGCATTTTGATGAGGCAATATTTCATTTGCCATTTCATCTTTACATTTAAAACCTGCAAAACAAAGTACTTAACATTTTGTAAAATTCAGACAGTTAGATATGACATAGCAGGATAAGATAGTGAACATTACTCCAGGGTGTTGCATGCTTTTCAGTGCTGATTAACATGTTTAAAACCATAATTATTGGTTCTACCACAGCACATACTTTCCCTACTTTTTCTAACTGCTCCAATTTATTGTACAACACAAACCTGCAAAAGTGTTTTTAACCAGCAAAAACTTATTTTCTGCACCGAGACTCAAACTCGCTTTATGCCTTACCTCTATGTCGTGGCAACGGTCTGACTTCCAAACTCAATCCGATACCTAAAAATCTAATTGAAGGGTTTCTTACAAGAACCAAACAAGTCCAAAATTCCATATTTTGAGATATTTCACTAAGACATTCAAAACAACTCACATCTTCAATGCAAAATTGTATGTTCTTTCATCATAGAAAGGTGTAATTTCTTATTAGGCCTGTTTAAAATAATTATTGGCAATGTTTCAGTTTTCTATTTTGTAAATTTTAAGAAATTTCAAGTGGAAGAGTGTCGTAAAACCAGTTATGCTAAATTCTAACAGTGAATTACTGCCTAATGGATGTTCATAGGAGGTGTATACTAGTTTTGTCAGTTTTCTACACAGATTTACTGCTTAATGCACATTTATAACTCGGATGTCACAGTTTTCTTCCAGTCATATTAGCCAGAATTGTCATTGTTTTCCCCCAGAAGTCATGTCTTGTGCTGTACAGTAAAATAAATGTGTGTGTGTGTGTGTGTGTGTCTATATTATATATATAGACACACACACACACTTATTGATGTCTCAGTAATATACTTATTAATGAACAACACTGGTTTAGACAAAAAAATATCAACAACCACAAATTTACTAACATTTCAACACTATGCTTTGGAGAAATTGACTATTTTTTGTTGTTGTTGACTATTGTTCAAGTTGATGTAATCTATAAAGATTTCACCAAAGCATTGTCACTGTAAACCATAAAATTTTACAGAAACAAATATATCCTGAAATTCATGAATTGTTATTAAAATAAGAAAATTATTTAGTTGATAAACTTCAGAATGTGACATATAAATCCTTTTTATCGAAAGAATTGTTAAATCAGGTGTTCCATAAGGTTCATATTTGGATCCACAATTTTTTATATTGTTTATCAATGACATAAAATTGAAACTTCCCTCATGCTTATTTTTAATGTACGCTGATGATCTGAAACTATATTCTGTAATAAATCATTGCTAGACTGTATTACTTTACAACTAAACTTAAACTCATTAGCTTCATGGTATAATAACAATAAACTTCATCTCAATATATTGAAATGTAAAACCATGACTTTTTCTAGGCTGAGAACATTTCCAATATTCAATATATGGCCACCCATTAGAAATGGTTTCGCAAATGAAGGATTTGGGAGTCCTCATTGACTACAAAGTGAAATTTACATATCATACTGATCAAATCGAAACACAAGCAACTTGTATGCTTGGATTCATCAGAAGAATAATTACCCATTTCATTAACCCAAACTCTTTTAGAACACTACATCTAACATTAGGAGGCTGATTTTATTGTATCTGTCCTCTCTGTGGTCACCAATATATGAAAATATTTCAAAAAAATTAGAAAGATTACAACATAAACTTTTAAATTTTGTGGGATGGAAACTGTGTTCACCTTCACTTAGAATAAGTCATGATTATAACCAAATTGCAAGTTTACTAGATATTAGTTCATTGAAATCACACAGATATTTCAATGATTTAAAATTTGTATACAGTTTAATTAATAATGAAATTGACTGTATTCAATTTCACTCGAAACTACTGAAAATTCTGAGAATGGATCTACGAAATACAGAATGAGAAACCCTTTCTTTGTACCAGTTGCTAAAACCAAACAATTTTGTCGTGTGCCTTAAGGGAAGATGTATAGCCTAGCTAATAATCTAAACATTCAATTCTACTTAAATGGGGAAGTGTATAAATGAAATTAAAAATGCCTTGCTAAATGATTACTCTTGAGTGTTGTCAACGTGATATTGAAAGTGAATAAACATGTAAAATATATTGATTATGTGAAATTGTATTTTCTAGGGCAATTGCCCGTTCAAATAAATAAATAATAAATTAATAAAATGAAATTTAAAAAAGTGACCCACCATTACATGATAGCTATTCATTAAAAAAAAAAAATTAGACCTGACCTTTTTAAAAAGCTGATTTTTTGCAACAGATTTTGAAAAATGGCACTAGCAACATATTAGTTACCATCCACTCATACATATTAAGAAAAAATTTAAAAAAGTAAGCATTAGGTTTTTGAGGAAAAAAGGAGCTGTTTTCTTGAAAATATTTCTTTTAGAAATTGCGTAAATTTCAAGCACAAATTACGCGCAAACTAGTTTTTTCTTTTTCGGATAGACAGGATCTTCATAATAAAATGTATAATTTTTAAGTGGAAATGTTCCAACTATACAATAATTTCTTTTAACACCAAATCTGCTTATTGTGTCTTAAAGATCAAACCTTTTTGAGAAAGGGACAGAAATTCATTTTCATAAATTACATTTCCAGAGAACTGAAATTATTAATTCAATTTAGGTATTTTGTGCTGAAATGCATGACCAGAGTAATGAAGTTTAATGGCAGAATAAATAATTTACGTTTGTAATTTCAAGAAAATTAAACTTTAAGCTGTTTAGTTAAGTAGTTTAATCTTAATACTGTAAATTATTTTTATTAAAATTGTTTTATCTTATTCGATCATGCCTTCATATGGTGTTTAGTAAAGTGTTCAGGATAGATTAAATTGCACATTATGAAATCAATATAATCCAGTACCGTGAAGTATGTAAAATGTCTTAACTATGACTGGACTAGGATCATGACGTTAACCATTTGTGGCAACATATCATGGCAAACTGTACACATTCCATAGTATGTGCACAGTTTGCCATTATATGTTGAACACTGATATGAGGCACATCAAGAAAACAATACAAAATCAAAATCTTATACAAAAACAAATAACAATATAAAACAAAGTACTGTATTTACCCGAATACCCAACTGAATATTTTTTTAATGATCTTTAAAAAAATGTTTGTTTGTTTTTTAGCCTTCTTTTCTGAGATAACATTTAAAACTTGGTTTACCTTTGTTTGGGTGGCATTCATACGACAGCTCATTCTCAATGTATTTCAAATGACACTGTGTGTGTTTATTGCCTCATTCTGATATTGTTGATGTTTGGGTGAACTTAAAGACATACTTCAAACATAACATGCTAATTTGTGAATTAGCCGGTTTTTGACTTTAGCCATAACACATATACTAGCACAATGATTTATAAATTGACGTAAAATGACATTTAATGTTAATTATAACAAATTATGTAAATGATTAGAATCTGATTTACTGGAAAAATCAGTGAGATAATATCTATTCAGGTTGCAAAAAATTGTTGCGGCATAAGTATTTATGTATTCATAAGAAGTAGTGGAAGAAAGAAAGTGTTTAGAAACACCAAATAAGTAAATAAACAAGATATATAATGAGTAAAAACATTTATAAACACAAAATATACTTGAAGAAACACATTGCAGGTTCCTCAAAATAAATTATTAAATAAGAATAATTCTTTTAAACAGACATCGGCTATCTAGTAATGAAATTATACAGTCTACTTTGGTCCTTTAATATCCTGTTTTAGATGTTATAAATAGATTTTGGGGGCCTAATAAGGACATGATGTCAGACATATTCTAAGAGCATGCTACGATGTGACAAAGCCTGCCTCCGTGAAAATAAACAGTCTCTGGCAACACACAGGTGAATGTGACTTATAATCAACTAACAAATTCAAAATAAAGTGACATTTATAAATTATAAGTAAGTACAGTAAAACTTGCTCATAACGGGACGTATGTAATGAGGAAATCTGTCAAATGTGAACGTAAATTGTGGTCCTGCCACACACAAATTCTTCAGTATTACATTGCATAATGTCTAAATCTGAAAAAAATACCGGGCCCTTGAGATTCTGCACTGTGCAAGTTTTACTGTACATAGATGCATGTGATTTAAACCATGATAAAATATTTTAATGTACTATGTACATAACAATTTATACATTAGCTTTTAAAAATCGCTATTATAACTTCACCTGTTTTGCTGTCTCCTCGATTATATTTCCATAAAGGATTTTCTGTCATCCCTTGGTTGTCTTTGCCCAGACCAAGACCATTTTCCCAGCCCATTTTTTCCAAAAGTTTCCGACCCACACTGCATCTGTCGTTTATGGGTTCATTTTTAGATGGGCCTGTTAGGATACAAACCACTTCAATTACTTCATAAAATTAATGCACCAAGACACATGCATTATTACACTTTTTAAATATTTGAAATAAAGCTTTTGCTCCAGATAACCAATAAATAGCTTAAAAACAAATGGCAACAGTGAACACCTTGCATTTAAGCTCTGGTTCTACACATGCATGCAAGAATCTACAGAGCGACATAAAATGTCATTTTAAACATTTGAGGAATGCTAAATGTCCGTGTCCATTGTGCATGAAATTGTGATGTTTCTATGTTTTTGGAAAAGGTGTGAATTGACATCTCTAGCTAGTAGTTTTGTTTCTGCATATTAGCTATTATCATGCAAGAACATAATACAAGAAAGTTCTTCGTTCTCATTACTATTAAGAAGATAGCACAATGGCAGGAGAAAAAACAAACAAATTAACACAAAAAGCAATATACTTATAAAAATAAGCATATAGATCACTATTTTCTACTTTTAATACTATTGAATAATAATACACTGTGTTGCCAATGTGGGCATTCGAGGTCTCATTTTTTCATTTCTAATGGAAACAACCTTAATTTCTGATCTGCTTATGACATCTTATCATGAAATTCATAGCTTCAAAAATAAATTAACTTAGTAGACTCAAATCATGATCAATCAAAGATTTCTTGACCGTTCAGAAAGCAGCACCTATCAAATGACAATTGAGATTCTTTATGACATTGAAAATAATTATCTTATAGCTCTTGTAGAAGAAGACTTCTTTTTTGTGGGTCTTGTCTCTGGTAAAAGATTAGGATCTAGTTCAGAGGCAAAGTTCTGACATTTCTTAATTTTGTCAATCAACTTGGTGATTTTTTAATAATTCTTGGCATACCTATTTAAAAAAAACACTGTTTTTATAAACAAAAAATTCAGTGTCAGTAAATTGCCAGTACTGCCCAATAAATTATGTACACAATATCTCAGAACACAATTTTTGTTGTATAACAGGTTCTTACATACACCCATAGTAATTTAATGATAATGATAACATTCAATGCTATTTTTCAACATAAAATTGTGAACTTCTTTTTAATAAATAAAGACACAGCTGAGCTCTCCTGAATAGTAATTAACATGCAATCACTGATTCTCATCAAGTTTAATCCTTTGTTATGTTATTTCACAAATACATCAAGTGGCATTTGGCAAACAGTTACTTCACAGGCAGGAAACAAGGGGCATTATAGTTACAAATCTCACTTTATTCACAGCAATGTATCTGAAATTATCACTTCAGAAGATCTTCAAATGCACCACCAGATTATATTACCAGAAAATGATTAGCATTATGCCAGAAAAATGCCAAATAGTGATGTAAAGTACTACATACATTTATGTTCACAAAGGTATATGGTAAAGAAAAAATAAATTATAAAGAGTATCATATTGAGAACAATTTTGGCAAAAGCATAACATTACTTCCAAGTCGTAAGAAAACAGTTTCTGACATACAAAATGAGACATAAGCTTTAAACAATATGAAAGGATATCACATCGTCTAATTCCTCCATAAATGGATAGAACACTTGAAATATACTTGCCAATAATCCAAGAAGTCTTAAATTTATTTCTGCGCGACGGCATGGTGAATGTCAACGAAATATTCGCTGAAAATATGCTATTGAACAACACTTTCCAATTGCGGCGTGCAATTCAATCGAATGGTTTCTGTTAAAATTAATACATAATTCAAATTTATTATCCCTGATGTACAACAACCAAAATACAATAAATAATTTATCAATTCTTACTATTATACGGATATAATATGAATTGGAGTATATTCTGCAGAGGCGCAAACAATAACCCTACGTCGCTTGTCCAGCCAGCATCTCGCAGCGCAACACATGGCAAGGAGTATGGATGGAGTATGGGTAGATGTCACATGGTAAGAGGCCGGGGCGGCGGGGGGAGCACTTAAAATACTCTCTGAGCGCGTATGTCTATGTTGCATAGATGAGGCTGACCATGGTGAAAATAACCACCATGAGGCTGACTTACAATGGACATAAGCATGTCGTGAGTGGCATTCCCAAAGTTAATTTCTTATTCATTAATTCGTTTTACACGAATTCTAATAGCTACTTGATGGACGTATTTAACTTTGGCTTATTCCAGAATTTAAAAAAAAATCTAAAAGTAGAGTTAACTGTTCAGTAAGAGGTTCAGGATCAGAATTGATCAGATGAGGCTATCGCCTAATTTTACCTGTATTGCCTCAGACATTTTGATCCCACATTTGGTATTCTCAAAGGGACGTATATTACAGTATAACCTACCGTATAATAATTACCAATTCACTTTAATAAGTCATGACTTTTGAAGAAAGCCTCCAGAATTCTAGCTGCCTAGTTAACGCCGGAGGGGCGCGAAGTGCCGGTTTAAACGACTTCCATAAATTGTACCGAATACTAGACTTCAACCTAATAATTTTCCACCATAAATCAAACCAGTGTACACAAAACTAATAACCTGTCTCCCTTTGTTCAATGATAAAATTTACTCTGTTACCAATCACTTGTTTTTCGAATACAAGAATAATGCCTGCAACAGGAACTATAACTAGCATAACAGCAAATATTACGTATAATACAGTATAACATAATTCGCCTCAATTTATATGAGAATGTATCACAGTTTCAATGCAATATTAGATTGAACAAAAGTGATAGAGATAATTTAACCGAATAATACTCATTTCCTCTAAGGTGGGATATGCATTGTTGGGAAAATGACAGGGATCGTCTCCTTCACCTAGAAATTGAAGTCCCATCTGGAACAAGGTGACTTCGCCAGGAACACAATTAATCCATTTCTAAGTGCCTCGTTTATGATTTCCGATTCTAAAATGTTCAAAGCAAGGAAAAATAAAACATTCCCAAGAGAATCCATAAGATTTATTTAGACTGTAACGCTTAAGCAAATATAATATTCTTTGTTTCACTCGTGTCCATCTTCCAGGTTTTTGAAAGTCCCGCCTTTGACAAATGATGGAACCCTGCTAAATAGCTTGATGTAATAAAATAAACTGACATTTAGTTTATAGGACCATAAAAAATGAGTGACAATAAATTGTATAACAAAGGCATATTGCCTTTTGAACAGTGAATTCTGAAGCCAGTAGCACTACTTTTCACTCAGTTCAATTCTGCTTTGTGCATGCAAGATACTAATAAAAATATATTTCTTTATTTCTGAAGACTATAAGCACAAATACAAAAGATATTTTACAGTATAAATTTCCATTAATTGGACTAATTAGAAAGGTATTTCACTTGCTGGCTGAAGAGTAGTTACATTGAATTGAAATAAATTTGCACACTTTTCCAATGTAAACAGTTTTGTGGTAGGTCAAAAGAGCAAGATAAGTTTTTAATGAGTGTGTTGGTTTGATAAATGTATTATTGGTTCTCAATATATTTGATAAAAATGAAGAAAGTGAAATGTAACTCATACTACAATAAAAGAGTTATTTATGTTTATCATTTTCTACACAAAGAATTTCACAATAAAATGTCATTGCTTCTTTTGTAAAGGAACATGCAGTAATACCTATGATAGTGATGAATACTTATAAATACGTGTTTAATTTGGTGATGAATAAAGCATGTGAACCATAACATTGGAAACCTCATTAAGAGTAAAATTGTGTCTTTATCTACATAAGGCATACTCAAAAAACTAAAAATCTTATAGACTTTTGAAGAAAATGTCTGTCTATAGCATACTTATATTTTCATATATTAATTACGGCATTTCACCATTACTCAAATTCCTACCCCTCACTCTAACTTCTCGGGGACGGGACAGATGACGACTGTGGAGAATAATTACACGTGACACAAGGGCAACCTTTTCACAAATTGCCGCAATGTCAATGCTGGGCCATCAACAAGACATTATGTGTGAACCCTTGAACATTATGGGGTTTCGGAGCCGAAGGCCCACTCATGTACCCTTGATGACTGCACGACACAAAGCTTTATGCCTCGTCTTGGCCCGTCATCACCGATATTGGACTGATGATGACTGGAAGCACATTGCCTAGTTTGACGAGGCTCGTTTCACATAGTTTCGGGCGGATGGACGTGTATGAGTATGGAGACCACATAAATCCATGGACCTTGCATATAAACAGGGGACTGTTCAAGCTGGTAGAGGGTCTGTGATGATATGGGGCGTGTGTAGTTGGAGTGATATGGGACCCCTGATGCGTCTAGGCACGACTCTGACATATCATACATACGTAAGCACCCCGTCTGTTTGCCTTCACCCATTCATGTCCATTGTGTATCCCGACGGAATTGGGCAATTCCAGCAGGACAATATGACAGCCCACACATCCAGAATTGCAACAGAGTGGCTCCAGGACCACTCTTTTGAATTTAAACACTTCAAATGACCACAAAATCCTCAGACATGAACAATGAGTATATCTGGGATGCCTTGCGACGTGCTGTTTAGTAGAGATCCCCAACCCCTCGTACTCTTACGAGTTTATGGACAGCCCTGCATAATTCATGGTGTCAATTACCTCCAGCACAACTTTAGACACTAGTCGAGTTCATGCCATGTCGTGTTGCAGCACCTCTGCGTGCTCGCAAGGGTCCTACACGATATTAGGCACGTGTACCAGTTTTTTTGGCTCTTTGGTGTACAATAAAATTTTTTAATCAGGTGTGACAAAGTATCTTGCCATAAGAATTTTCTTTGTTTTGGGGACTTGAAGATTTTGTATATAATTTTCCCTTGATATCTCAGCAGTTTTGAACATTAGTGGGTGAATTGTACAAAGTTGTCAACACATTTATATATTATTGTATTGGGCAGGGTGAGATAAGAGATTAACACATTACTCCATTGAGTGTGAGAAAATGATTACTTCTCACATTATTTGTACTTTGTGATGGGCGAGTTAGTCTTATACCAAATTAATTCCCTGTTCTGAAGCAACTTTTAGGCAGGGAAATTCCTCAGTTAATGTCTTAACTAAAATATAGCCTCTTGTGTGTCACAAAGCATTTGGCGTATTCATGTCATTAGGCTTGCTCTTCTGCCTGGCCAAGTATCAATCTTCAAATATCTTTAATAAGCAGCAATTTTTCGATCACAATTTTGAATCAGCAATTATTTTATCGCATTGTTTGAACTATGGTTACACCTTTTTCAAGACGTATACAAAGAAAAATATCAACATTTTAAATCACATTTTCTTTGCACAAAAAACTTAATTACTTTTTAAATTAAATTTATTATTGAAGATGTGATTTCAGGTAGCTCTTATCAAGAGAAAACGTTACACATATACTACAATCAACCTTTATTCATATACATTGTTTTATACATAAGAAACTTTTCAATAGTATGCCATTGGTACTTTTGTCTGGGAACATAAAGTAACAGATTTGAATCTGTGACAATGACAAAAAATTAAAAACATTTAATCCTGTCAATAAAATAAAAATGAACAATAGTATAGAAACATAACATAAGAAGTTTACACAAAGAAAGGGGAATGTACTGGGACAATCACAAATTGAAGTTGATACGAGAATTTCAATGAGCTATAAGAAAAAGAAAATATATAAAAATATATACACCACATTTAACTAGGAGAAAAATCTACGTAACATCACAGCTTCAGCAAACATTTCAGACTCCTCTCTATCAGAACCCTGCTTATCGTGCATTTCCAGAGCACCATATATATCATCATTCCTAGCAAAGTCACCTGGTTTTCGAGGTATGATGTGTACATGAACGTGCTGAAAGAAAGAAGAGAAAAAGGGATTTTATAATATGGAAAGGAAAAAAAATTCCGTAACATACTATGATAATAATGGCACTATGATTCTATGATATGTAATATTGCAATGTGTTAAAATAATTATGTTAGCACTCATTAAGGTTACATCAGATGTATACAATTGCTTGTATATTACTTTAAAAAAATACATTTGCAGTTGTAGGCTTCCACATTTACAGGCATCCAAATACTTCCAGACAACACATTTAGGCTATTTAGTGGATTGAGAGCGTAGGCTTCCGCGGCCGGAGTCACCTGGACAGCCTAGTAAATACCGTTTAGCGGATATTTTTGTCACCTTAAGGTACGGATTTTAATGAAATGTAATTTTTTTCTTTTCACTTTAGACCAATCCATCTTAGTATAGACATTAAATTAGTGTTATGACAAAAGGAAATAACCCATTTTTATACGACATATTTTTAAAAAATTTTTCATTGATCTTGACTAATAAATCATTTTTTACCTTTTCCCACCATTCCCACCAACCCCAATGTCACCTTCTTCCAATAATATTTACATGATGCAAAAAGTGTTCTCCACAGAATTCCTGAGTAGTATATTCAATTTATTCATTCAGAAATTGTATTGTCAGCCAATGTGATTATATAATTTATGGTTTCTGTGAGGCCTATCAGCGCCGTTGTTGATTCAGCCAATTTTGCGAGAACTAGACAGAATCTTCCTGGTAAAGAACAGTCCAAACCAAAGTTTGCAAGCTGAGTTCACTTCAACAAAAGGAAGAAGCCTCGATTACATCAGTAACATATCAATCAGCTTGAGTTGTTCATCTGAGCTGGTTTTGATCAAGTTTTTATGTCATGTTTTCGGTCACCAAAATTGGCCCTCTAGTCATCATAATATTGCCACAAAAAGATGGCTGAGATATAGGAAAAACGGTCTATGAAGTGGTGGTGCCCGGTCAACTGAGACCATTCCTGTACATTTGTTCAAGAGCCAAAGCATTATGAGCGTACAGAAAACACTTCATATCTTCACATCCTCTAAAACAACTAATATAATATATTCCACAGACCAACTAAAGACAAAGTCAAGACAAATATTTTGAGGCAGCTACTTGTAGAATTAAATGTAGTAATGTGATTTTTCATAAAAGCATAATTTGTTCTGTGACACTCTAGATAGACAATCACTTGTTCGACTGTGGTATTGCATAATGAAGGAAGAACATTTTATTAAAAAGAAATTGTAGTTATACACATTTTCAAGAGTAAAATTATTTTCATGAACATAATATATGTCATACTCTGTTTCCTTACCAGCTCAATTAAGAACATTTTAGAGTGATAGAAAATATTATGACTTGCACATGATTCAATATAGAGCTACTTAGAAGTATTATACTTTATACACTGAGTGCCACATCTTCTCTTAGCTCGTTACTTCTACTGTTTCTCCAAGGTCATTCCTTTGGTACAGGGAAGGTTTCCTTTGACCAACTGGCATAATATATATCATGTGTATTGTCACTATAGATCAAGTCAATAACAACAAGTTTGTTTAATAATATTTGCGGTTACTACAGATCACAGTGACAACTGTTGTATTAGGTAACCCCCTTCATGTTTCTGCATCACATGCGTCTGCATTGCCGAGACAAGAAGAAAAAGAAGAAAAGAGAAGAAGAAGAAGAAAAGAGAAGAAAAGAAGAAAAGAAGAAGAAGAAAAGAAGAAAAGAAGAAGAAGAAAAGAAGAAAAGAAGAAG